TAAACAATTTTGCATGTCATTGCAGAGCTACCATCTACCAATCTACATATAGACAAATCTGACAAGTATGTAAAGAGAAATATACAAATCCACAATTTGAGTCAGAGATATCAGCATCAGCCTCTCAATAATTGTTAGAAATAAAGGACTGATTATCAGTAAGCTTATAGAAGACTTGAATAAAACAAATAATCTGATTTAATTTACATTTACAGGGCACTTTATATCCATCAATAGCAAAATATATATTCTTTTCAAGAGCACATAGAACATTTTCCAAGATATTTAATAGCTGAGGTCAAATTTTTGTATTCTAGAATACAAAAAACTCACAATAATTTAAGGAATTCATACATAATATGTTCTGACTAAAATGGAGTTAATTTAGAAATCAGTAACACAAAATATCTAGAAAATGACAAACATTTGGAAATTAGTAAGATTCCCAAATAACTCCTGTGTGAAAGAATAAGTCAAAAAACAGAAAATAATTAAATGAAAATTTCTTTACAAATTTATAAATTGTGGGTTAACTAAAGCAATACTTACATTGGAAAATGGAACACTAAGTGTGTATATTAAAAGAAAGAAATATTTCAAATTAATACCTTTGGATCCTACCTTAAGAAAGACTGGATGAAACTCAAAGTGGAAGAAATGAAAAATTAAGATTAGAGCAAAAATCTCTAAAATATGTTTTAAAATAGAGAAAATTAATAGCTACAGTGCTAGTTCTTTTAGAAGATCATTATGAACCTGCAGACAATCCAATCAGAAAGAAAGAGAACACAGATTCCCAATATCAGGAATGAAACAGGTAATACAAATGATTTACAAATATACATATAGCAAAAACCTATAGAAAAAATGAAAAGAGACATTCATAGTTTCTACATTCATAGTTTCAAATTATAGCAACATTTTAACGGAAAAATATATGCATGTAGTCGATGGTCATATAGAACAAGAACAGTCAGTGGAGATCAAGATTATTTTAACACTAAAATAATCTAATTAATATTTTAGAACACATCACCCAACAACATCAAAATACTCCTCAAGCTGAACATAGACTTTTTAACAAAAAGATCATAAAATAAGGCTCAGTAGATTTCAAAAAACAATTGCTACGTTATAACGTGTATCTTTACTGAGCAAACAAATGAAAACTAGTATTCAATAACAAGAAGTTATCTAGAAGATACCCTAATATTCAGAAATTAAATATATATCTAAATACCCCTAGAATTAAAACAGATATCTGAAGAGAAATTAATTTCAGTGGAATGATAATAAAAATACAGCATAACTTTTGGATTGCAGCAAAAAAAAATTAAGAAAAATTTTTGGTTCTAAATGTTCCTATTAGAAAATAAGAAAAGCTTAAATCAATTTTCTAAGTTTATAAATTAAAAATGAACTAGAGCAAAGCCATTAAAATGAATTTAAACAGAAGAAACTGAATTAAAAATAAATATGCACATGAGGTTCATTTTTAATAACCCCAAACTGCAAACGATCCAAATGTATACCAATAAGAAAATGTATAAATATGTTTTTATATTTATATATTGAAATCCTATCAAAAATTTTGAAAATCCATGAAATGCACAAAAGCACTCATGAATCTCAAAATATTATATTGAATAAGGCAAATCAGACAGAAAATAGGATACGATGTATGCATTCATTTATATTGTTTAAGAACAAAACTCAGAACTAATTTCTGGTACTAGAAATCATAATATTGATTTCCTGTGAAGAATGGAAACTAAATGGAGTGAGCATGAGGGAGGCTTCGGGAGTGATGAAATTTCCACATCTTAATTAGGTTGCTGGTGATGTGTGTTTGCATTCATCAAACCTCATTAAATTGTGGAATTAGAACATCTGTATTTTGCTGTTTTAAATTTGACCTGAGTAAAAATATGTATTTGGTTACCACTGCTAATTAAGTCAAATAAATGTTCTGATGTTACCTCTATATAGAAATATTTTACGTTTTAGACATGGCAATGTAAGTACTTTTGCTGTAGTTTTAAAACTATTCTATACAAGTAAGATGGCAACAAAATATTAAGAGATCTTTACTCAGGAAGAAATTGTTTAGCAATCCATTAGTGCTGCTATAATAAAACACCTGGCACTGGGAAATTTATAAAAACATAAACTAATTTCTCACAGTTCTGGAAGCTAGAAGTCCAAGATCAAAGCACCAGCAGGTTTGGTATCTGAGAGCCTGCTCTGTACTTCCAAGATGGCGCCTTGTTACAGCATTCTCTGGAGAAGACAAATGCTGTTTCCTCACATGAAAAAAGGAAAGGAGGGCAAAAGAAGCCAAATTCCCTCCATCAGTCCCCTTTATAACTTGTAGTATTAATCTTTTCATAAAGATGAAACCTTCATGATTTAAACATTTTCCAAAAGGCCCTACCTCCCACCACTGTTGCACTGGGGATTATTTCCCACACATGAATTTTGGGGACACATTCCAACCATAACTACCTATATGAAAATTATTTTTGGGAAACAAATGAATATCTTCCTTTCTGAGAATATCATTATTTATTTATTTTTATTTGGGGGACTAATTATTCTTTTCTTGTCTTTATAGAAAGTGAAGAAATCTGTAGATAATTGGTAGTATACCACAAAGAGCCCTGAAACCATGTAATGAATCATGGGTCCTTTAAAAACATATTCTTGAACTCAATTCATTTACGCATTCTTTCATTTAAAAAGAATATAACTTTTTGTGACTGGAATTGTTCAGCCACTACAGATCTACTGATGAGCACACATAAAAGCACTTTATCATTTTTTTATCCTAAAAAGGACTTTATCCTAAAAAGAGCTGAAGCATCAATTTTCACCTGTTCTAAAATTTTTTCATTGCCTATTTCTAAAAGGATAGGAAAGTGTATTTGGGTTGAAGTACAAGCAAAGACAATATTACTTGATATATTTATTGAATGAGGCTTTTACTATATATCACTGTTAGCCAATGTTTTTGTATCCCCTAATTTGCTTATGCTGAATAATTTCTTATATATTCATAGGTTGACTTACGATAAGAGGAAATGAAGACATCTACAAAAATAATCTTTGTATTCTGTAAGTTCTCTATTAAACACATTTACAAATTCAGGTTTTAGTGTATATGAAGTATATAGACATTGTATATATGTAAACCTTTACTTATTTATTGTTTAGTCAATACATTATATGTATTTATGTGGCACAAGTTAATGTTTTGATTCATGTATATGTTATGTAATAATCCAATCAAGGTAGTTAGCATGTCCATCACTTCACATATTTATAATTTCTTTGTTGTGAAAACATTTAGAAGCCTCTTTTACACATTTTGTAGGTAGGCATTACCTACTTTATCGACATTAGCTACAATGTCTTGCTGTCAACCATTGCCACTCTACTGCACATTAGGACACCATAATTTATTTCTCCTAATTGTAACTTCATACTCTTTGACAAACCTTTGTTCATCTTCCTCTCCCTCCTCCCTTCCTCAGTATTGTAACCACTATTCCATCCTCTATACCTATCTTACAAACTTTTTTTTAGATTCCACATGCATGGGGGATATGTCTTATTGCACTAAGCATGATATTCTCCTGGTTCATCCATATTATCAAAAATGACAGAAATTCATTTTGAAAGGATATATAGTATTCCATTGTGTGTGTGTGTGTGTGTGTGTGTGTGTGTGTGTGTGTGTGTATAATATTTTCTTTATTTGTTCATCCATTGTTGGACATTTAGGTTGACTCTGTATCTTGGATATTATAAACAGTTCTGAAATAAACATGGCAGTGCAGACATCTCTTCAAAATACTGATTCAATTTTCAGGGGATATATGTCCAATAGTGAGATTGCTGGATCATATAGTCGTTCTATTTTTAATTTCTTGAGGAACCTCCATACTGTTTTCCACAATGACTGTACTAATTTGCAATCCCACCAATAGTGCCTAAGGGGTCTCTCTTCTTTATATCCTTGTCAATACTTGTTTACTTCGTTTTTATTGTAGGCATTCTAACTGGAGTGAGCTGTATCTCATTGTGGTTTTGACTTGCATTTACATGATGATCAGTAATGTTGAGCATTTTTTCACATACTAATTAGCCATTTATATGTCTTCTTTTGAGAAAGTGTATTAAGGTATTTACTCATTTTTAATCAAGTTATTTGAGTTTTTTTCTATTAAGTGGCTTATATGACCTGGATATTTACCCTTTGTCAGATGTAGTTTGCAAATATTTTCTCATTCTGTAGTTTGTCTAATCACTCTTATTTCATTTGCTATGCAAAAAGTTTTTATTTTGATCCAATTTCCTTTGTCTGTTACAAAAACAGTAAATACTAAATAACAAATTCAGTAAAGCTACAGGAAACAAAATAAACATACAAAAATCAGTTGCATTTTCTATATGCTCATAGTGAACCATCTTTAAAAAATCAAGAAACCAATTTTACTTATAATAGCTACCAAAAAATATATATAACAAGATAGCTAGGAATAAATTAACCAAGTAAGCAAAAGATAGCTACACTGAAAACTATAAAACACTGATGAAAGAAATTGATAAAGGCACAAAATATTGAAAGATACTCTGTGTTCATGAACTGGAATCGCTGATGTTGTTAAAATGGCCATACTATCCAAAGTGACCTACAAATGTAATGCAATCATTGTCAAAACACCAATGACCATTCCTTGTAGAACTAGAAAAAATATATGTCCTAAATTTCATGTGAAACCACAAAAGACCTTGAAATTCAAAATCAATCTTGAGAAAAAAAGAGAAAAGCTAGAGGCATCACATTATCTGACTTCAAAATATACCACAAAGCTATAGTAACCAGAACAACATAAAAATAAAGATAAACCAGTGAAACAGAATAGAGAGCCCAGAAATAAACTCAGGCACCTACAATCAACTGATTTTTGACAAAGGTGTCAAGAATGCACTCTGGGAAAATACTATCTTTTTAATAAAGGTGCTCAAAAAACGGAATATCCATATACAGAAGGATGGGACTAGACCCCTACCTCTCACAATATAAAGAAATCAACTCAAAAAGTATTAAAGACACAAAATGTAAAGCATGAAACTGTGGAACTGCTAGGAGAAACAGGAGAAATGCTTTCAACATGGGGCTGGTCTAGAATTTTTAAAATACAGACAATAACAAGTATTGGTGATGATGCGGAGAAACCAAAATCAACATCAATTGTTGGAGGAATATAAAACGGTAGAGCCATTTTGAAACACAGTTATCAAATATTGTATTAACTATAATATCGTGCCCTAAAGAGAATGGTTGGGAGTAGGGAGCCTAGCAAGTGCAGGCATCCTTTCAGTTTCAGTGTGGGATTAGAGTAATGCTTCCTAATATGAGCGGAACATGAGACATGAGGCAGGAAATCTAACCAAACCCCAACCACTTGGAGTGGTTAAAAAGTTGATAAGAAGACAAATGTGTTTCTGTGTACCAACAGGTACCCATAGATCATCCAAACTCAGCAAGAACTTAACATAACTCTAAGACAAATAATTCTTATAAAGATTTAGTTTTCTGAATTTAACTGTATTACTTGCCTTACTTCGCAATGAGTTGAAACCCAGGAAAGGCCAAGCACAGTTCAGCATAGTATGACTACAGATGAGAGGCACTCATATTTGATACTTTAAAAAGATAATAGAATTTAAAATAACTAATTTTTTGCAAGTAATATAGCCATGGCGGTGCAAATAAACCACTTTGTACTGATTTATATCTGCAAAATAAATAAATACATAAGTGAATCTGGGTAAGCATGGTTTGCATATGTGACATATCAAATGATTAAGGGCCAGAAACCTCTAAGTTCCTTACATATACGTACAATGTATTCTTCAATCATTCAATTGACATGTCTTTTTTATTTTTGGAGATGTTTCTTAATTCTTTTTTTTTTTTTTTTTTTTAACAGAGTTTAGCTCTTGTCACCCAGGCTGGAGTGCAGTTGGCGAGATCTTGGCTCACTCCAACCTCCGCCTCCCAGGTTCAAGGGACTCTCCTTCCTCAGCCTCCTGAGTAGCTGGGATAACAGGAGCCCACCACCATACCCTCTTAATTTTTGGTAGCCTCCTAATGCCTGGCTAATGTTTTGTATTTTTAGTAGAGATAGGGTTTCATCATGTTGGCCAGGCTGTTCTCAAACTCCTGACCTCAGATGATCCACCTGCCTCAGCTTCCCAAAATCTTAATTCTTTTAATTGGTTTTTAGTTACAGAAACTTTGAGTTAATCATTCTCCACAATCATCACTAGTTAATGTAAAGTCTCTCATTTTTAATATTATTTTATGTTTTTCTTCATTTATAATGTCCAATAATCTTTTTTTCTCCTGTCAATGACTAGTCACTCCTTCCCTGCATTTTATAAATGTGGCTACATAAATGTAAAAAATATATATACAAATCAGGCAAAACTTGAAGGCTACAACCTAAGGGATATAACTGGGTGTCCCTGCCCTCTCAGGGGCCTGGGAAGACTCCTACTCCCACAGGCTTTGAAGTGCCTGCTCCCACTACCAGGCCTCTCTCCCTACTTCCAGTGCTTTTGGAGCCAAGTTGAGGCTGAGTCCAGGAGCTGCTTTCACCTAGTCGGGTGTGTGCATGTTTGGGGCAACACTGACATATCAGGCCCCTGCTGCCTCAGCCCCCTCTGGACATGAGGGAAGCTGAGGGGCAGCTAAGGGCAGCTTGACACAGATCTCCAGGCAACCCTACTGAACAGTCTGGTCACCATGTACAACATAATTGAACACGGCAGGAGGCAGACAGCAGTAGGTCCCTGGTGAAGCCTCACTTTCAATCCAGGGATGGTCTAAAGCCTGGGGCTGGGCTGTCAGTTCCAGGTGGAACCCCCATCCTAGAGTGAGAACTTGTGCTATCTCCCCGCCTGCGCATGGCTGAACATGGACCACTCAGCATGCACTTCCTCCATTCTGAGCACATAAAACCCGTAGACCCAGCCAGACTCTCACAGATCAAGTGACCTGCCTGCAGAAAGGAACTACCCAATATGGGTCTCCTGAGAGCTGTTCACTCAACAAAATGCCTCTCAGCTTTGCTCAGTTCTAGTTGTCTGTGTACTTCATTCTTCATGGATGCAGGACAAGAATATGGGACTTACTGAATGGCAGGACTGAAAGAGCTGTAACACACACAGGGCTGAAACAGGCTCTCCCATTTGCTGTGTTGCATGTGACTAGGAGAGAAGAGCTGCAGCCCTTCAGAGAGCCCGGACCTAGTTGCTCTCAGGGCTAGGGCTGTGACATCCTCTTTGAGGTTCTGTGGTTCCTGGTGTCTCCAAGCTTCTGGGTGCCACCACATTCCCCTCATCCACATGCGGATGCCCAAAACTGAAGCTGGCTGTGATACATCTGGTCCAACAAAAGGCTTACATGGAGACAGCACCTATGCTGATGCCTGGAGCTGCCTGCCCTTCTACAGCAGCGAGCATGCCGGACAGTGTTGTCAGACCCCACTCCCTTGCCACATAACCCTTGCCACTTTGCACCTGGTTTGCTCTCAGCATGTGTGGGACTCGGGCTGGTAGTGTGACCTGAGCACAGCCTGCCAAGTCAAATGTACAGAATGAGCCAAGCAGCAATGAGCAATACTCAGGCAGAAGACTTAACTGGCCACAGAGGTTTCTGGCTGGCAATGTGACACCCTAAGGATCCTGTGGGACTGGATCACACAGCCGGAGATGAGCAGAAGATGAGCAAGCATTACTGCCTGAGCTCTGCCTTCTGTCAGATCAGCAGTAGCATTAGATTTTCATAGGAGTGCAAAGCCCATTGTGAACTGTGCTTGCAAGTTTGTGTGCTCCTTATGAGAATCTAATGCCAAATGATCTGAGTCAAACAGTTTTATACTGAAACAACCTCCTAATGTCCCATCTGTGGAAAAATTATTTTCCATGAAACTGGTTCCTGGTGCTGAAACATTTGGGGACAACTGTTTTACAGTATTACTTATAATATTACTGAGATTCATCTATGCTGTGTAGATGAGTGGTTTAATAGTCCTTATTGTTGAGTAGCACTACATTGTGTGTGGATACACATACATACACACACGGACACACAAGTACATATGTTTATTTATTCACCTTTTGTTATACATTTGGGTTGTTTTTAGTTTCTGGCTATTGGGAATAAAGAACATTTTATATTTTCACTTCTCTTAGATGGTGTTGCTTCATTTACATGTGTGTGTGTGTGTGTGTGTGTGTATTTAAAACAGTGAATTTGTTTTTAAAGGGATGTAATATTGTACATTTCTACCAGGAATGTATAAAAGTTCCAGTTACGTCCCACTTTTTCAATCATTTAATATTTTCAGTAGTTTTAATTTTTCTGTTACAGTGTGTTTGCAGTGGTATCTTGCTATGGTTTTAATTTGCATTTCCTTGATGACTAATGAAAAAAAGATGCTGAGCATCTTTTCATGTGTTTGACAATATCTGCGATATTTTTTATAAAGTATCTGTTAAATATCATTTGGTCATTTAAAAATCAAATTGAAAATTCTTATTATAATTTAATTCCCTTTCTTATTATTAAGTTTTAATGGTTGTTTGTATATTCTATAGAGAAATAATTTGTCATATTTATAAAAAAACATATTCCTGCTGTCTTTGGGTTGACTTTTCTTTTCTTACCCTTGTCTCAAAATGTTTTGTTGTTGATAAAGCTTCACTTGTAATTTTTTTCTTTCATAGTTTATGCCTTTTCTGTTCTACTAAGAAATCTTTGCTTAGTCTAAATTCACAAAAATTTCTTATGGAAAACTTTTATTTGTTATACTCTTATAGTTTTTTCATTTTAAGTTTAGGTTTATAATTAATATAAATTTTATTTTTTGTACATGATATGAGATAAAGTCAAGCTTAAGTTTTTGCATGTGGACATACAGCTACTGCAGCACCTTTATTATTGTCAATCATAAATTTGCCATGTATGCATAATTCTATCTCTAGCCTCTCTACTGCAGGCTATTAGTCTACACGCACACTCTTATGTGAACCATCATTACTACGTCTTTCTAATAAGTCTTGAAATCAGGTAGTCCTCCAGCCTTGTTTTTCAACCTGCAAAAACTTGGGGGCTTTTCTGGGGGTTTGCATATTTATATAAAATTAAAAATTACTTTTCAATATTTCTAAATTTTCTTCTTGGAATTTTTGAGGGGATTACATTAAGTCTACAAATTAGTTTGGGGAGAATTTTTATTGTGACAATATTATATGTCTTTCAATCCAAACGCGTGGTACATCTTCTTATTTATGTAGGATTTTTAAAACTGGTCTCAGCAATTTTTGTAAAAGTAAGTGTAAAATATCTCTCATATATATTGTTAAATTTATTGTTGAGTATTTCATTTTTGATGCTATTGTATATGATATTAGTTTAAAATTTTTAATTGTTGGTGTTTATTGCCAGTATACAGAAATCTTATAGATTTCTATGTGAATTATAACAGCAAACTCACTTTTTAGATCTAGAAGTTGTTTTGTGATTTTTCTTATGATTGTCTATGTAGATAATCATGTCATTAGTGAAGAAAGATAATTTTTAAAAAATTTACCTTCAATATACTTAACTTCTATTTCATTTTCTTGCCTTATTGCACTTGTTATAACCTACAGAACAGTGTTTAATAGAAGTAATACTCACGGATAGCTTTGTCTTTTTTCTATATCTTAGAGGCAAGTCATGTAGTCTTTTCCCATTGACTATGATTTTGGTCATTTGATTTTTGCTATTTTTTTTTTTTTTTATGTATAGCTGAAGGCCATACCACTGAATATCGTAACTTAAACTTCACTGGCTTTTTTATAGATAACATACATATGTCACCATGGTAACTGTTTTTAAGTAGTTTTTCAGGAATCTAGGGAGAGCTGCTGTTCAGTTCAAACAGATTGAGACCACCAAAGCTTCAACTGGATCTGTGCAGATGACTAAGATGTGGCATTTTGA